TGAAACCCGGCGGTGCCGCCGCTTCCCCCCTTCCCCCTTTTCGGGGTTTTCCCCTCCGCCGTTTAAACTACAAAACTCGCTTTGTTTTCCTTGTTTATTCGCAGATTCTTCGGGGAGGGGACTGGGGGAATTCTGTCATTTGTCATCCCCTCGCGAAAATTAAAAGAGGGAAACCCGGCGTCGCTGGCAAAAAAAATAAAAAATAAAAAATAATCCGGGTAGCAGGACAAATCGTTGGGACGGGAGCGATGGTTCGCGGGTTTTGCCTGCTCCCGAAAAGTCTTTCCAATCAGTTAATGTTGCTTCGCAATATTAATGATTAAAAAAAAAGAAAAAAAAGAAAAAAAATCGGCAGCCGCGCTTTCATTGGCTGGTGCCTTTGCCTTGATGCATCATCACAAAGTCTCCGATCAGAGCTCGGGGCACTTCAGGCTGTATTTTGTTCAGTTATATCCTATATATGCCCCTCTTAAAAAAAAAAAAAAAGCAGAGAGGAAAAGAAAGATTTCCCTCGCGGTGCCGATGCCTTCATCCTTAAATACTCCCATTTTTACCCCAAGTCGCCTGTCCTGTCAGGGCACCTGTTGCAGTCGTACGTCCCCCCGAGGATGGGTTTTTATAAACTTCATATCTTTTTTTCTTTTTTTTTCCTTCTTTTTTTTTTTTTAATTTTTTTTAGACAGCAAGCGATTTCCAGGGCGGTGACTGCAATCCATTTCTGCTCGCCAGCTTGTTTAGACACCAAAACTAATAGTGCGATTATTATTCCTGAATGATATCATGGTAATGCAGGAAGATAAGAATGGCCTGATATGGAAACATTAAAATTATATTCTTGGAGATAGTTCATTTGGAGCAACTTTAAATTAGATGAGATCATGTAGCCTGAGATCTAATATCAGCATAAATAGAGCTGTATTTCTGCCTTCATCTTCCTCCTCCTCCTCCTCAGTTGCAGCGCTGCGATTGCCAAAAGTGCGAGGCAAAGAGCACCTATAATTTGAAAATACCCCCGATCCAAACTTTTAGTTGCTGAGAAATAATGGATCTTTAAGGAACGGGTGTTGGTTTGGTTTTTTTTTTATGCTTCAGGCGTTAGGAGAGGGAGGGGATTTTTAATTGATTTTTAATTGAAGGGAGCGCGTTTTGGAAAGGCTTTTGGGTCTCCGGTGCTTTTCACAGACGCTGAGGACACCAGTCCTCCCTGCTGTTCTGCGTGACCTGGTGAGGTTCCCACCGAGAGCGATGCCTTTTACAAATACATGGAATTAGCTCAGTGCACAGGCCGATTATTTTGACACTTTTCCTTCACATTCGCTTATTTTACCTGCAAGTGCACACATCCATTTCCCCATGTGTGTGCCACATATTAAAAAAAAAGACCCATTTAATCACATGCCATCAAATATTATTTTCCAGTGTGTGTATATATATATATATATGCAAAATACGTGGACGCACCAGCTCATACGAGCACAGAGCACTGATGTCTCCGCAGATAGAGTGCGGAACAGACTACACACTTAGGGGTTATTCTCTGTGCATATTTGCAGTATTTCTGGCTTGGTTCCCCGTTCCCTCCCCCCAAACCCTGAGAAAAGCATTTGGGTGACTACAAAGAGTTATAGCGATGCATCATTCTGCAGGGAGAGATGTAAAGGAGCAGGTCGCTGCCCTGCACCTATACGGCCGGAGAGGGGAGCGGGGATGGATGTGGCAGACTGGATCACCCCACTATCTGGTTTGCCCGGCGTCTGCTTTCTAGCACTGGCCAGACCCTTGCTGGGAAGGCACCACGCTCTGTGGGAGAGAGTTGGAGAATAACTTGTCACAAAAATAAAGATTCTTCTCACCCCCCCTTAACTAGGACGCGGGTTATGCCCCGAAGCTGAAGTTTACAGCCTTTTCAAAACTTAATTTTTTGTTCCGCTCATGTTATCTATCCGTGATGCTGCACAACCTCCTGTCCTTTAACACACTGCTCTGTGCGTTTACAGAACTCCTCTCTCACAGGTGATCTGCTCATTATTCTTTTGCAGCGATTTTTTTTTTTTTTTTGTAGCCCGCTGTTAATGAAGTATATATTTGCACCGGGGGATTTCCCCGCCAGCTCCAGCTCCCTGCAGGTGATAACCCCGCAGTGTGGCCAGTCACCCTGGGGAGCCACCGATGCTGAGAAACCCGTCCCCTGCTGCCACCGGGGTGTTTTACTCTTGCAGGTCTTCTCACGGCCCCTGGAGTGGGGACGGTGGGGGTGAAGGTCCCGATTAGTGAGCCAGCGGGACCGCCTTACAGCGCGATTTTGTGCCCTGAATTATAGCAGCTTTCCCAGACGGCAAAATTAAGCATAGCTCTCTGTGTGTGTGTGTCCGTGTGGAAGCGCCGCATTGAGCAATACTGACCGCAGCCGGGTCAGCAGCCGCTTGGGTTGAGGTTGCCATCGCTCTGGGGTGCGTGACGCCGGGGCAGAAACCGCCTGCGCAGACTCAGACGATAGCTTGGGCTCCACAAGACCCATGAGGGTCTCTGGGTGCAACCCCTGCAAGAGACTCCTGGGGCAACGCCACCTCCGTGTCACCTCCTGGCCTTCCGTTAGCAACGTTAGCTGTTAAATAATAGCCAACGAGTGGCTACAGAGTGGCTCACCATTTCCAGGGTGAGAAACGCCTGGAAGAAACCCGTCGGGATTCCTCTCCGTGGGGTAGACCCACGCTGCAGAGCCCCATGAGGTCCTTGGCTGCATGCGGGTCCATGGAGATCGCCGTTGGCTTTCTCGGCGGCAAAAGCAGCGGGAGGGAGAGCTGATGAGCCGCTCCAGT